ATACGGCCGAGCCACGTTTCCACCCCCTTGACCACCGTCAAGTGTAGCACGGTGTGATGCGGTATGGTGTGTTGTGGTGTCGCTCTCCGTGGCATCCATCCCCTTCAGACCACCGTCGCCGTCGTATAGACAGCGACGTAGTACAGTGCCTCTGAGTCATTCTTCAGACAAGACCCGTCCGGTGTACCGCCACTTAGACGATGAGAACGTAAAGCAACACCGTCGTCGTCGTCGCAGTCCTCATCGTAAATGTGTTGTATGTACGTGTGACGGTGTGCTGGTAATGACGCAGCGCATAAGACACAATCGTGCACCCCGCGCTGCATCCCCACTTCTAAGGGATGCACAATCGCGCAACTTTAGCGAAACCGCGATGATATATCAGGGGTAGACAGTTTCGCTACATAAATATGAATATAAATATCACATGATGCCGGGGAATCTGGAAAGTATCTTCATTTTTCTTGATCGATCACTTTCTTAAATAAGACGGAGTGATGACAGCTCGCGATTCACAACAAGCTGTAGCAATTTTGATGTGTTCGAACTTTAAATACTTTACATTCTCAGATGTCTACTTTGACTTTATTCAAATGAAATTATTTAATAAATAAAATACGTTATTAAAAGAATTATTAATTTATTAAAAGAATTTATTAATTTATTAATTTGAAAGAAAACTATTATTTATTATAACTTTTAATTACATATGTAATTAAAAGTTGTAATAAATAATAGCTTTTTCAAATTAAATTTACTTCGTAAATGAAATATGCAATTTATATAAATTAAGTTCATCAAAGTTTTACTTTAAAATGTTTTGTATATGAATAAATCAATTTATTAATAATTTATTCGCAATTTTATATGTATTATCATTATGTATTATTTTAACAATTTTACGTATATTATTATTATGTATATTGTATAGTAATATTTTTAAATAAATGACAATTATTTTTATTCTCGAATGCTTTCTAACTGTTTCTATAGCCACTACCACAAAACAGAATTATAATGAGCGATGAAAATTAAATTATAACATTTCTTGAATTATCATTTTTTTCATTTAATTTTCTTTAAGGTATATATTTTTTTCTTGGTATTTCATCTATTATTACGAGCACCATTAGTATAGAACTTTATGCATTATAAGTATGGATGACGCATAGGAGTATTTCCATGAAAACTCTGGATCTAACCGTGCGGTCATAATTTTACTTCTTGATCGATGATTTGCAACATTATGACGTCAGCTAAACTTTGCCATACACACTACTTATTCCGCAAACATGAAACGAGTGCCAATTAAGATTAATATTGTGGATAGCACGAAAAAATTATGTGATTAATACGAGACGTGAATAAAATGTATTTACACACATTAACATAAATAAAAAATAGTAATATTATATTTTATCAGAATAAATAAATATAATATATTAATAATATATATAAAGATATTAAAAGTACAATGTTATACAATATTAAAAATTTATAGTGTGTAAATGACATATTATTTCCTGTTGATGTACGAGATTTGAAAATTATTTGTGTCCAAGACAGTATTGTAGTTGTCAAAAATCACATTTTATGTTGCAGAATTCTAATACTTATATGAAAATAATCCATATTTACAGGCGTTATAATTTATAATTTATAATTTATGGACAATTATTAAATGTTACAAATTGCGATAATATATCAATATATTAAACTTAACAAAAGAGTGATCATAAATTACTATAGAGATGCGCATAAATTGTTAAAAGATCTTTATAATTCGCGTAGATGGAATTTAATGGACACAGCGGAATCACACTAACTAGTTCATCAGGAATCGTGTAAGCATGTCGATCAATTTCAGGTGATAATTATCGGCGCGCTAACTAGTTACATGTGACACGGACGCTATAATTATATTTCAAATGCAATGTAATGCTGCGTCACCGGGTCGCCTTTAATATTAATTGTGCATGCCACTACAATGTCACTTGAATATATAATATTATATCTAACGTAATCTTTTTTAAAAATATTTTAGTATTATTGCAATAAATATTGCAAATTAAAGTTCTTACTATTTATTGATGTATATACTTCATATTTTTATTACTAATTTTTTTTAATACATAATTTATAATTATTGCATAGACTTACGCAATCTGTTATATGCATATTAACTTTATCTTATTACATTTATTAAAGTAATTTTATTAGTTTTTGTTTTGCTTAACTGTGATTAATATTATGAACGAAAATATAATTTATATTTTCTAGTTTATTATCATTCAATTTTTCATTCTGAACATACTGTAATTAAAGCTTTCTTTTTATCCGTCCATTTATAACATCCATCCATATCCTAATAATAACCTCATTGATTATATGGTATACTTAACTCTTTCCTCGCCAAAAAGCAACATATGTATTTCTAATATCTCCCATCTAATCTTCTTCAAAATATTAAGCTAAGCTTGTGACAAACTCGATAATTAGTTATTCAAATTATTACATCGTGTAGTAAGTATAATAGCTTATATAATTTATTCTGCGACTATTAATCATTAAAATAAAAAAAATAAGAAGTGAAAAGAGCTACGTAATGGACATTCATGTCAACATCTTGATGTCTATCAAGAGAAATATAACAACGATGCAGGATCAATTTCCTGGGTCCCTTCGAGCAGAGCCAAAGGCAAGAGCAAGAAAAAAGGAGTCTTAGACTTGTCGGATTTGTAATACCAGTGTGGCCCACTTTTACCCAACAAGCGAAGTTTTATGTAACGCGTTCCTCGAGCCTTCTACTCACGTAAAAGCGTGCTGAGATCCATTAACGGGATGAGGAAATAGCGGAACCCTCGCCAAGAAGCAGCAAGATGCAGTAATCCACTAAAGTTTACTTACATGTCCCTCCAATATGACGCAGCAACGATTTTTAGAAATGATGTATGAAGTCAAGAGTCAAATTTTATAGTAATAACATTCCATACTATTTTTCTGTGAAATTATGAATCGATTGATTGAATTAGATTATACTTATTAAAAATTATAATTTGCATTACATTTGCATTCACACAACGCGCGAGTCAAACAAATAAAGCAAAAAATTAAACAATCTAGTTTCCAGTTATCTTATCTAATAATCGCACAAACTTTAATACAACGCTTTTAATTTGAAAAAAAAACTTATCATATATATTATATATATAATTCCGACTTTAGATAGATATTATTTTTTTAAATAGATGTTCAAGATGGGAGGAAGAAATTTTATATCTTGTTATGATAAAATGCATACACATTTTCTAAATGTTTTAAATATTCTTTGTTATAAATTATGTTATATTGCAAAAGTAAAACGCAACAACAAAGTTATTTTACCATAAGCTAATCTACTCAAATGATCTAATAATAAATATATATATAAACGAATTTCTTCACTTTTGACTCGAATTTAAATAACAATTTAAATAGCAATTTGAATTTAATTAACAAAAGATTTTTTGTTTGCGAAAAAGTATTGCGAAATTTTATGAAACGACGAGAAATCGTTTATTTCCTTTTTCATCGATACCTAACTATGTTACATGTTTGGCCAACCGACTTGAGTAACCTTCCTTAAAAGCATTTCGAAGCAAAACGAGTTTTCCTAGGACGCCGCAGAAATAATAATTCACATTCGATCGATCGATTGATTATTACAAAAACGTGCCTGACATGTCAAGAATTTCATTCATATATTTGCGACTTTCCTCTATTATTTTATTGGGAAACAAATAAACCAACAATAGGAAAAGACATTTGATGTATAAATATCACGGTAATTGTTCCTTACAAATTTGCTTTCTCTGAAGAGAAATTAATGAAAATAAAGAAACTAACAAACGCATAGAACGAACAACGAATCCGTTTTGATAATCTTTTATTATTTAAAACGCTTGGCAATTCTGCGATGGTACAAGATTTATGTAAAATATATATTGCATAACATGTCGCAAATATATCAAAATATCCAATGTACGAATAAAATTTAAAAAATTTTTTATAAAGATGGAATATATCCTTTGGCGGAAGCACTTCGTCGACGAGTAAAGATTCAAACAGTGTGCTGACGAATTATTTTGCCACCTGTGACACAAGCTCGGACCAGAATATTGCATAGTCCTTCAGTACAGTTCCACTGAAAAAAGTATATTATTAAAATAAATTATTGAAATATATTATTAAAACATATTATTAAAATACTTTTAAACATAAATATTTACTAAAATATAATTAAATTATATACCTAATTTTCTTCCACAATTCTCATAAACTATCTTTAATTTCAAATATAGCAAATCGGAGCAGCTAATTTAAATTATTTTTAAATATATTTTAAAAGATATTATAATTTGACATATTAATTATAAATACATAAAATATATATATATATATCATAATAGGTTTAATCTTTTTTAAATAATAAATCCTTTAGTAAATTTATCATTGATGAGGCATCAAGTGGCTTGCCGCTCTGTGCGATTGACTCGCGATTTTGACTGTAGATTCCACCTGCGTCCACATATGCGATTTTTCGAAAGAAACGTTTCGAAATCTATATATTAAATTACTTAATTTTAGGTTTCATTCACGGGATATAATATTCATACAATAAATTACGAGAAGAAGATAACACAGGTTTTATTGTATGATTATTATATTCAAATGAGATCTAAAATTAAATTTAATATGTATATTTAGAAACGTTTCTTTTTAGCATATTCTCTCTCTTATTAAGTATTAACATTGAAAATGTATTGGTCGAAACGTATGTTGTTATATTTGTTTATAAATGAAAACATTAGTATATATTAACTTGCTGTTGCGCTCTTAATCCTTGATATTCAGTATTTGTTTTTATACAATTAAGCGATAACTTTTTTTTAATTAAAAATTCTTTGATTAAAAATATAATATATTTTTATAAATTTTTGGCAAACTTAAATGTTACTTTACTATCTAAAAAATTGTTAATAAACACTTAAAAAAGTATCCTTTTTATACATAATATAAATTACATTATAATAGTCTGACTTATAATTATTTATTATTCTATGCGGACGTGGCACTCAGAGTAAAATTTTGACAGTTGCTTTCATCTGAATAATACATGTAACAATTTTTATATTTTATACTAAAAAAAAATTTCCTTTTTGTAATCTTCTTTTTTATAATTTGACGTGCTACACTTGGAATAATTGATTGTGATCTATGGAGATGAAAGATGAGTAGAATAAGTATACAGAAAATTAAGAACAATTAATTTCTTTGTTCATTGTACTCTTCAATTAGTTGCTTGGCTAAACAAAGAGACAAATTTGGTAACTCCCAACTAGACAGTAGAGATATGCTTATCTTCAGTATCACATTATTTAATTCCAACATTTGCGGACTATATATATATATATATATATATATATATATATATATATATAT